TAGTAAATGTAACTATTTACTACCCAACTCTGGAGACATCTGTTGTGACTTGGCGCTATATAAATATATAAATAAATATATATAAATAAACTGAACTGAATTAAAAAAAATATTTTTGAAGCTGAAGGGACTAAACTGAGCAGAACATTTATAAAATTAGTAGAAAAGTAGCTGAAAATGTTGAATCAGTCTAAAAGTAGCTGATGTTTGCTGTATTACAAAGTATGAAGCTGAAATTATCACAAAGGTGAATTTAGCTCTAAAWCTCTAATCAGCTAAAAACACAGTAAAACAGCTGAAAGAAGCAGAAATTAGAAAAAGAATGGTATAAAAAGTTGGGATGAGAGCTAAAAAAGCTGAAAAAAGCTACATTTATCAAAATAAAAGCTGAAGGAAGTTGAAATTAGTGCAAAGAAGTTAAAAAAGCGTAACCAGACGTAAACAGTAACATTTTGAAGAGTTGTTAAAGACAGCTCCATTCATTTTCAATGAGAGATAAAAGTCAGAAAAAGCTAAATATCTTAAATAAGATAAATAGCTGAAACACCAGAAGTCAGAGTGGGAATGTTGTGAAGGAGCTGAATGTTTTGTTACAGCAGCACAAACACTGTGTAACGACACAAGAGCTGCAGTAGTGCGAGGTGTAAATCCACTGACCTTGTAGAAGAGCAGGATGAAGTTGAGAGCGAAGGCGATGAACAGAGCCAAGAATCGAAGGTTGTAGAAGTTACGAGAGAGGTAGTTCTGGGAAGAAATGAAGACATGAGGATCGTTCATGATTCTGATTGATCTGCTGAATGTTATATAAACCTTGCTGCAGCAGCTCACCATGAACTTTATCCTCTGAACTTCCAGCTCRTTCCACAACTCGAAGCCCTCCTCTGCAGGCTTCTTGTCCTTCTTCGTCTTGGTCTTCATGGTTTTCTCCTCCTCTTCTTCAGGCTCTTCCTCCTTCACCTCAGGTTCAGGCTCAGCTTTCTCTGCTTTCTCTCCGTTCTCAGTGCTAAAAAAACAAACCAAACTAAACTTTCACCAGATTCTGAGCCTGGTTATAACGAACAGAGCCAACAGATTTAATATTTCATGTGTCAGGTTTGTCTTCTATAAAAACTTACTCCGCCTTCTCCGTCTCCTGAGGAGCTTCCTCTTCAGCTTCCACTTTAACTTCCTCCTCTTGACCTCCAACAGCTGCTTCCAGCTGGATTAATGACAGATTGGAGTTAATTTATCAATCTGCACCAGTTTACTGTAGAGCTTTTTGTTTTTCACAGGAAGTTCATGAAGAAATAACTAAACTGAAACATCAGGACCACTCGTCGTACCAGGACCACTCATCAGGACCACTCGTCTTACCAGGACCACTCATCAGGACCACTCGTCTTACCAGGACCCTCATCAGGACCACTCAACAGGACCATTTAGCAGGACCACTCATCAGGACCACTCAACAGGACCATTTAGCAGGACCACTCATCAGGACCACTCAACAGGACCATTTAGCAGGACCACTCATCAGGACCATTCTCCAGAACC